AAGAGAATGAATGAGAACCATTTGCTCAAATCATGTCCTTCCCTCTCTGACCCACTAACTCTTCTTTCCTTTCCTTCACCTCGACTAGTGGTGTCCGCCAACTCTCCTCCTTAAGTAACTGGCCTGCACAGAACTTAGGAGACCTTTCCTCTCCATTCTGGACTTTTACCCACTTGCTTCTACCCATTCAAAGTTTTACTTTGGGACTTTTGCTTTCTTCAGGTTCTTGTTTCCTTCTGGGTTGAATTCTCGTGTTCTAATTATCTCTTATTTCATCTCTACTCCTAAGACCTTTCCAAGATGTTCCACGTACTGCCTCAGCCTTCATTCCCCATGACTATCCCAGTCAAGTCTTCAAAGGTACCTGTAGCAATGAGGTGGCTGACCAAGGTGTAGTTGTCCTCAGCACCCAGGGCTGAACAAGGAAAGACTAAGCCATGGAAAGGAACGTTGTCTTTGGCCATGAACTGATAGAGGTTCACCTATGGAATATAGTTGGAAGGCAGAGTTTCTGAGACCTTTTGCAACGGCCTAAGAAAGATCAGATTATCCAACCCTAACCCACCCCATTCCCCCACCCAAACACACATACGCATGCAACCTCACCAAGAATTCTTGGCTAACCAAGAATTGCTCACTTGCTCTGGGTTCTTCCACCATCTCTCCCATTGGTCTGTGTAGTTGGCTGTGATAGACAGGTAACCAAAAGTGGCATCAAACCATACATAGAATACCTGGAGAATCAAGAGAGAGACACAGTAGGATGAAGGAACATTAGGAAAACCTCACCAACCCAACGTCTCGGGCTGAAATTAGACATAATCAACAACCTATTCTGCTAGCCCAGGGTCTCAACCCCAAGGCTGAGTAATATGAGATATGAGTAAAGTATAGGCTTTTTACCTTGTCCTCAAAACCTTCCAAGGGTACAGGGGTTCCCCATTTGAGGTCTCGCGTTATGCAGCGTGGCTTGAGGCCATCCCGAAGCCAAGAACGAATGATGAACCGGGCATTGGATGTCCAGTCACTGCCAGGCAATGTCTTCCCCAACCATTCCTCCAGTCGGTCTTCCAGCTAAAATGGAAGGCTAATTTAGGACAGTCTCATACACGGTTGGCATAAGGATAAATATGTACAACATTTTTGGAGTAGTCTGGCAATACAGAATTAAAATTAAAAGGCTTGTGAATTTGACATAGCAATTACACTTCTAGAAAGTTTTCAACAGAAATATTCACACAAGAGTGTATAGATGTGTATATAAAGAAGTACACTGTTCATCATAGCAAAAAATTGAAACTAACTCCCATGGCTCAGAAGAGTTTAAAGAAATATGATTCACTGATACAATGAATTACTTGTAAGGCCATTAAAAAGAGGGAGGTAGACCTTTATGTAACTGACATGTACATATCTCCCCAAGATTCATTATTAATTAAAGCAAATTGCAAAACAATAATAGATGATATAATCCAATAACTACACAAATAAATGTTAATATACAGACCAATATAAGCCCAGAAAAAATTTTGAAGGAAAATCTATATCAGTGCTTTATTTTCAGATGGGATTATGGAGAACATCCACTTTTACACCATATATTCCCAGCTGAAATTTTAAACACAAGCTTATATCATCACTTTTGTAAGCAGAAAAACAAAATAATCTTTTTTAAGGGGATAGTTATGTGACTCATCCACATAAATACCATAGTTTCTGAAACCTGACAACATACTCTGTTGGCAAGGCTATGAGGAAATGCACACTCACAGATTGTTGGTGGAAATACAAAAGTGGAATAGCATCTAAGGAAAATTTGGCAATAAACTACATATGTATTTATCCTTGATATTTTTAAGGAATTTATCTTGAAGATATACTTCCAACAATACAAAAATACACATGTACAAGGTTATTTACTGCAACATCATTTATAATTGCAAAATACAGTAAGTCCTCATTTAACATCATGGATAGGTTCTGCAACTTTAAGTAAAACAACACATAATGAAACCAATTTTACCATAGGC